TTTTTTTTTTTTTTTTTTTTGACCAGTAAGGGGATCACAACCCTCAGCACGATGTGGTCTGCCCCTCGCTCAGCCAGTGAGCGGGAACCGGTCTGTATGTGGGATCCGAACCCTCGGCGGGAGCAGCGGGGGCCATAATAGGTGTCACTTAAAGTGAATTGAAACAGTTGAGAGCGAGCACCGCACATAAGATGCCGAGTTAGAAACCACAGCCATCCGTACCATTGGTATATAATTCCCTAGAAATAGATTAGATTATGAGAAAGGTGTCCAGGCTAAAAAACAGTTTGCTTTTATTAGCTAAAAATATATGTTCCTGAATTTGAAATTATTTAAGGTAGATGATTTCAGTGTGTCTATTCTTCTGCTCACTGGAATAACAGATGAATAGGGCCGGCCCCGTGGCTCACTCGGGAGAGTGCAGCACTGGTAGCGCCGAGGCTGTGGGTTCAGATCCTATATAGGGATGGCCGGTGCGCTCACTGGCTGAGCGTGGTGCAGACCACATCGTGCTGAGGGTTGTGATCTCCTTACCAGTCAGAAAAATAAGTAACCTTACAGAGGCAGATGTTACATTGGCCTGATTCTTAAGGACTACGAAGGAGGAGGCATTTTCCCACATTGTCAAAAGGAATGCAGAATGCACAGCAACCCTGCTGTGACACCAAGAATGACCTTTCACCTGTCCAGAAGCAACCGAGGGAGTAAGAAAATGTTCACAACCACGGCTTCATGTGAAGGAATTCACCAGGGAAGGGGGAGGTGAAAGACAAGGAAAAGAACATTACAAACAATGAAGAGAAAGAGAGATGAAGGAGGCGTCTAAGGGGAAAGATGAGACGGAGGATAGGCTTGGTAGAAGATACCCCTTAATGGTCCCTATGTCATTGCTGCCTTGGATTGATTGATGCTGCAATAAAGGCCAGAATGGCAGAGTGGAAGGTTCTTCGTGGCAANGCGGGAGCGCCACCGTGCTTCCCAAGCGGCGCACTTATCCAGTGCGCCACCGGGCTGGCCCCGAACAGAAGAAATTTTGAAATCAGGAAATTTAGAACAGTACAATCCCAGAACCAAACAACAGCTCCTTCTTAAATCAGAAGCACGCTGTAAGTGAACCATTGTGCAGTCTATGCATGTATTGAAACGACATACTGTACCCCACAAATATGTACAAGGAAATGTTAAAATATTTTGAATTAAAAATAACCCAAAAAACAAAAAGAAGCTCCCTGGCTCCCCTACGAGAGCAGGTCCCATAAACTTCCGGTGAGCACCCTACCTTGAACAAAGAAGAGAACACGTGAAAGGTGTACACAGCACAGGAGCCATCCGAGTCGCACATGAGCTGGTTGAGGTGGCTGCGCCATGCCTCCTCGGCGTCGTCACAGGCCGTGGGCTGGAAGGCAGCCAGGATGGCCGAGAAGAAGGGCGAGGGGGGCGGAGAGACGCCCCTGTCGCCTTCTCCAAAGCTGGGAAAAATGAAAGCAACCGTGTCAAGAAACAATGTCCTTCTCATCCATCACCAGGTTTTATAAATTCTGTACATTGATAAGGTTGGCCAAATCTTGCTTATCTTCAAAGCGTACAAGGCCTGACTGTCAGTACAGGCAGGGAGCTGCTTCTGTCTGCTCTTCCCTTTGAGGTGGCTTTGGGGACTTGGCTTTCATTCAGGGGTCTCCAAGAGTCCTTTTGATTCTAGGAAATAATTTTTACCTGATGCCTTTATACAGATTCAGTACCTCTTTCAGCCTCCAGCAAGTGCCTGTCACTTTCCTAGAGGCCGTGCCCCAGACAGAACAAACATGAGCTCCTATGCTTTGGCACTTTCATTCCCCTACTTTATACAGATTCAGTACCTCTTTCAGCCTCCAGCAAGTGCCTGTCACTTTCCTAGAGGCCATGCCCCAGACAGAACAAACATGAGCTCCTATGCTTCGGCACTTTCATTCCCCTTCATTTTTTATTATGAAAAATTATAATAAGAATTTTGAATATTCCTTAATTTCTCCTTTATGGAGGGAGAGTATTTTTAAAAATAAAATATAGATGAATTTATTTAATAATATGGATGGGGACTATATTTTTTTCATTTTTACTTTTAATTGACATAATAATTGTACATATTTATGGGATACAATGTGATGTTTTGGTCCATGTGTACAATGTATAATAAATTGGTAATTAGCATATCCATCACCTCAAGAGTTTCTTTGTAGTGGGAGCATACAAGATCCTCTCTTGTAGCTATTTAGAGATATACAGTACCTTAAGGAGGGCCAGTACTAAGGAATACATATGCATAAGTGCCCGGGAGACAAGTGTGGAGGGAGGAAAGGAAACAAGGAAAGAGAAATGTGGGGTGAGAGGGAAAGAGGGGTAGGAGGGAAGGAGAGACAATGAATGAAAAGTGAAAAATCAGATTCTTCTCTAGGAACTGCCTCAACCTTTCCCTCTGAAGGGCAGGTACTGCTCACCATAACAGAAGGCCTTTGTCTAGCCACATCAGAAGCTTTTACTTAGCTCTTATTTTCAACTTTCAGAATAATGATTTTAGGATCTTAATTTTATTCTCCAGAAGTAAATTGGTAGCGTTATTATTTGTGATTCATTCTAGATGCCGTACTAGTCCAACCTGTGGTGTTTTTATCTCTTCCTCTTCATATTTTTTTCTATTCATATATCTCACTAGTCTCAGAAATATCAGCCATTAGGCTGAAAGACAGTCATTTAGAAGAGTAGGTATATAACGTATAAAGAGACTGTTGTGTCTTTTAACCCCAAATGGAAAAACACTCACTTCCAAGGCTTGCCAAATCTTGCTTATCTTCCAAGCTTACAAGGCCTGTCCCCAGGCCCTTCTTTGGCTTTTCCACACAAGGCCCTACACTGGGGTTGGATGATTCCAGTGCAGTGAGAGCCCACCAAGTTATATGTCACTTTGGATTCCTTTATTAGGAAGCCCCAGCAGTGCAGGTGTGACATTGAACTTGAATTCATGTGAATGCAACACAATGTGCCACATACACTCACACCTCTCATTTCCGCCATGGGTTCCGTTACCTTGCAAGAGTAAACTGGTCCAGGGCTCGATTGCCTTTTTCCTCTGCCTCAGTCATATCCAGGCTGAAGCTGTCACTGCATTCAAAAGCTGCTGGGAGTTCATTGATGGAACTGGAAAGATCATCCTCATGCACGGTGGTGTCCTCCTCCTCCTGGACAGCTTCAGCCTGGAGGAATTAATGAGAAGAGTCCCCTCAATATGTAAGACTATAAACAGCAAAATCTGATCAACTAAAGAAAAAAATAAAAGAGACAAATGCTGAGAGTGTTTTCTAGCTACAATAAATCAGTTTCTAGAATGCACTTGCGAATTCTCTGAAGTGCTGTTCATTCCTTATCTTCTTTTCAGTCTCTTCCACAATAGACCCCAAAGAGGCTCTCAGTAGATTATAATATTTGACCCATGCTTATGAGACATAAATGCTAAACTTGGAAAAGACCACAGAGACCCCCTGGTCCACCCTTCACATTCTACAGATGAAGAAATGATGCTCCACATGGGAAATGGACTTGCCTAATAACAGGTCAATAATCAGAGTCGGTACTGGGACAAGAAGCACCCCCTTCGGATTCAGAAATCCTTCCAGTACAATCCCAGCCTTCTAAAGCAAGCTTATCCAGTGTTAATTCTCCAATATAGGGTCCCTTTACCAATGAAAACTACAATGTAGAATCATCAGTGCCTGGCATAGTAGATGCTCAGGAAACGTCCGTAGTGTGCATGAGTGATCCAGAGTTCTTCACTGAGCCTGCTGGGTTGACAGTCCTTTCTGCATTGAAAATCCTCTATGATCCACTTACATATATACTTTACTTTTGAGAACACTCTTGAAGATAACAGATATGAGCGTGTGCTCTCACCTTGCTGCAAAATGTGGAATGAGCAGTAAAATGAAAAAGCTCTAGGGCAGGCAGAACCAGGATCAGTGAGAGGCAGGAAAGAGACATAGCAAGTAAAATGGAAAAAGAGGCTGGGCTTGAACCTGGGCCAGGGGGAAATCATCTGGAGAACTGATTGTTATTTATGAGAGGAAGGAAGGCAACTGGATTACAGATCAGAAGAGGAGAGGAAGAAAATACATGTACACGTTTCAGTGAGTCATTTTCTTAAAAACAAAGTCAAGGCAAAACAGAAATGTATATGAATTAGAGCCTTATCATGGGTTAACATCTGGCCACTCATTAAGTATATACTATTTTGAATTTAGGATTAACAGGAAAAATTAACAAGAACGTTAAAGATATGTTAGGGAAACAGGATATCTCATGTCTTTGGAGGAATTGCTTGTAAATACCGAGTTTACAGAGGCTTATCCATATCTACTTCTTTCTGCTTTTTAAAACTACAGTGGTGCCAGTGACGCTGCCCACTGGTGACTGGTCTAGGTTCTTAGTGTATATTAACTTAATCTATTCAGGAAGGGCTGAGTTCTTATATAAATATCTTTTTTTTCTTTGTAACATCACAGACATTGCTCAAGTGAAAAACAGGGTAACTCCTCAGAAATGAGAATAAACCGTTCCTCAATAGAATTAAATGATTTCTACCACTTACATAGTGCTTTCTATGAGACAACTATATGTTTTAGCATTCAAAATAGAAAAATGGAGAAAATGACTACACAACACTAAGAAATATCAAATGCTAATAACTTCATATACAGGAGGGTACTTCAGAAAGTCCATGGAAAAACAGAATTTAAAATATGAACCTTTCCATGAACTTTTGGAAGTACCCTTGTATTTTGTGGTGGTGTTTCCATGAAATTTAATTTCTTAATCTTAAGATTCTGACATTTTAACCTAGACAAGGTCTTATTTCTGGGCTTTTTTTTTTTTTTTTTTTTTTTTTTTGCTATAAACTGGCTCTGTTAACTCCAAGAATCCTGATCACAGTTCCTTTGCAATGGGGGAAATCTTACAAATAATTCTTATTTATGCTTCAATATTTTAAGGTAATTGCAGTTTGGTCATTGCCCTTGGCTTAAAGTACACAGATTTTTCTAGATCTCAGATCTGTTTTTAGTACACTGTAAAACAATACAGAATAGCCAGTATTATATTTTTCCATTAGAAGTGTCAGAAAGAAAATACGTTTATAACATTTTTTCTATTTTGTTCTCTCTTTCAGACTTACACAATCATAACCAAACTCTAGATAAAGAAAGCTTTCTCTATCCTAACATAAGGAAATAACATTCTATACTGATGGGCATATATGTGGGCATAGAGTGTGAGTGGATAGTTTTATGAACAGGGTATTTTCTGGAAATTTTGATAAAATAAACTTTAAATGAAATATATACTGTTAGATTATTTTATTTTTAAAGCCAGCCTTTAAAAATAAGGAAATCATATTATTGGTTAACTCTCCCCTCATAGAATCTGGCTGAGAGAGTTTTGTGCAAATCTGGCATAATACTGTGATTGATATTAAAAATTTTGATAGTATGCCAAAGGGTGAGCATTGAATCAATGCACAAATTGTGTAATTCCTACAAACTGTATAATTCCTACATAGGAAAAAATTCCCCCAAATACATGCATACACCCACACCTCACTTAGCATATTGTTTTATAAAAGTCATGACAAAGAGCAGCAGTTTCCCAGTCACAGTGGTCTCAGACATACGCCAGTTTGTTCTGCCATCCATCAGCAGTGCTCATGCAAGATGTTCCATTTTAAAAAGACCTCAAATCAAATCTCTTTCCACCAAGAAAAAGACGGCTGCTCAAGTGTGTGAGGTAAAACATCATCAAAACATGGGCACAAGTGCACACTTCAGTCTCTTCAAAAAAGTCAGAAAGAAAAAAAAAAAGTCAGAAAGACAAAGATTGTCCTTCTACTTTTGACCCCCGAAAGATTTTCAGGAAATTGGAAATGATTTTTTTTTTTAAGGAATCTACAACTATAATTGCCAAAATCTCTTCACCTTTGAACCCTCAGTAATCTGCAGATTATTCATATCGGGCAAAGAAGTGTCAAAGCTAGCCATTCTGCTGTGAAAGGAGTGAGGGTCAGCGGGAGCCGAGTCACAGACCGTGGTGAGTAATTCCATGGGATTAGTCTCCTCAGAGGGGGAGAGGGTCATGATCTGTTTAAAAAGCAAAGGAAATAAAACATAGTATGAAGTTCCCATTCTTTAAAAGCTCTAATTATTCTTTACCTAAGACTACAAACCACTGTTCTCTAGTTGTTGATTGATAGGTATTAATTTTTTAACATCCCTATTTCACCGTTACTGTACCTTAAATGTAGTTGCTGGCAACCTCATACTAGGGTGCAGCCTTCTAAAACACCCATACCTGTATTTTCAGATAACCACCTCAAAATGTCTATCATGTCTCCTAAAACTTTAGGTGTCTGAGGGATTTTAAAATAGATTCCAGCACAATAAAAGTTATTTGGGAAGAATCTAGACGTTAACAGATTTGATGGCTTTCAGGGTGTATAAACATAACCCCAGCACTTGTTTCCATTTATAACCTACAGAGAGGAGCATTAGGTTACAATCAGACACCACCTGACAGTTCAAATTTTAGTTCAGCAGAGGTGGAAAGTTTCTTTAGCTACAACTGGAAATTGCACTCCAGCATTAATTCCAAAAAATAAGCCTCCCAATTCCTACAGTGAGAGAGTTGCTACTTACTAGGTCTGAGTGCTCCAGGATCTGGCTGGCTGTGAGGTCCTCCTCCTCAGATGACTCATCAGAGTCCTCACGGTTCATTTTATTTAGGCTGGGAGTACTTCCTGAAAGTTGGTGCTCCTCCAGAATCTGCATATCACACTTGTCCAGGCTGTCCAGAGAACGCCTGCGCACTCCCCAGTTGAAATTGTCCATGCTCTCACCCTGAAATCACACCATCAGCTGGGTTTTTATGCCCAAATCCTCCTGCAGCACACTTTCACACATTCAATTAATCACAGCTTAGAAACAAATACTGTCATTAGGAACCCTCAGGCCCTCATCTACTTTGGTACTGAAACTTCTGTTTACCTGATGGGAAAAGTAGTAAAAGCATGCTATTTTCACGTAAATGCATATGAAGTCATAGGTAGGAGTGATTAAATACTTTTCTTTGGCATGGTGGGTAATTATTACATTTTTTAAAAGTTGATTTTGGTAAACCCTATAAACTATGTTTTCAAAACATTGCAATTAATAGACCACTAATATTAAACAACTTCAAAAGAGGTGTGTCTCCCCCACCCCCTGCCAGCCCCTGTTTAGTACTGATTTCAGAAGGAAAAAAAGTAGGAGCTATGCTTGTAGCACATTCCAGAATCCTTTGGGTATTAAGTAGAAGAGCATTAGGTAAACATTCCAGCCTGTTTCCGCTACAGCATTTTTCAAAGATAAAATGCAAAGTTAAAGAATATCAGAGAGCAGCTGGGCAAAGTCTGATGGATCATGCACTACACAGAGGCCAGAGCAGCAACGGCTTTGCTTTTGCTTTAGGCTCATCTTTAAATAGTTGTCCCAACATGGAAAATAGTTAATTTCCTGGGCCTTAAATGTGCTCAGTCCCAAGTATTATTGCCGACTTGTACATTTTGACTCACTGAGAACTGGCCTAAGCGGCCATGTGTTTATAAAAGCTTTTAGTTGTATTTCAGACTTTTTCTACAGACCATCAGATATTAAAGAAGTTTATTTGACTAACATAAAATTTTTTTTCTAGAAATTAATTTGGGTTTTATTTTTCTCTCCACTAAGATAGAAAGAAAAACATTGTCCAGCCCACAGATAAGCAAATTTTAACCTAAATGAATAGATAAACTAGCACAGAAGCTCAGTCATTTATTGGTAATTTGAAACAATGCCTGATTGTTCACTGAAATAACTTTTTCTGATGAGTGAACAGCATAAAATAAGAGAGATGCAAATTACTGTTAAACTTAGCATTAATTGATTCTCCTTTGCTTGAAGGGTCTATTGTTTCTGGTTCCTAATGAGACAATGTTGCCATTCTCACAGATCTCTCATACAGGTTGAGCATCCCTAATCCAAAAATCTGAAATCTGAATGGTCCAAATTTTGAAACTTTTTCAGCAGACATGACGTTCAAAGGAAACACTCATTGGAGCATTTTGGATGTTCTGATTAGGGATGCTCAACTAATATGTATTCTGCTAATATTCCAAAATCTGAAACACTGCTGGTCCCAAGCATTTCAGATAAAGTATATTCATCCTGTGTAATAGATGCTTAGCTTTTCCAAAGAGTGTTTTGGCTATTCATGGTAGAAGGCAATGGGTAAGATATAGAAACCATTATCATTATTCAGCCCTATTTATGACATTTGCAATTGCAGTTAGGGCTGTCTGCTTATAAAGTGAAAGCAGATGTGGAATATGGTTTTTATATTCTGTATCTGTTGTTTTATCTGTATCTGTACCTTCAAGCTGTGTCTGTTTTATCTGTATCTGCTGTGATAAATCACAATCCCATAATTTTCTTTCCAGGTAGAAAAAGGCTAAGTGCTGTGTTAGGATTTAAAAATAGCTATTGCAGTGAAAAAAATGGGGAAAAAAAAAGTGAAAGATGTAGGAATTTGGGGAAGAAAAGGAAACTCCGATGTGTAAAAAAAGGAAAAAACAAAAATGAGAATGCTGTAAAGAGTCAAAAGAGAAGACTGAAAATTACAGGGAGAAATACATAAACATAAACTCACAGGACTAATTCTCTTGTACCAAATGAATGGATGGGTTGGATAAACTATCTTAAGCCACAATTTTGGAGGTTTCCTACACTGAACCTGTGATAGAACCGTGAGCCTGCAGAGCAATATAGACATCTACCGTAAGAGAAGCCACACCAGGTGTAGATTGCTGCTTCTGCTGATTGGGTGGCAGCTCTGGTGAAGACCTGAATCAATCAGCCATGAGAATAGGAAGGCAGGGAAAGCTGTTCTTGCAAGATTTAGATCTGGCTGTCTTGGCAGAGGATGCACTATCTCCCTTAGAGGCCAAGTGTTGAAATGGATTCCCTGGTGGTGGCTGAGGGGTTGAGATGGAGCAGTGCTGTGGTCCAGCCCCAGTTAAGGTCTATGGTGATTAACAGACAATCAGACTTTCTCAGCATGACACAGGAAAACTTCAACAGGGGCGTCACCCTGCATCCTTCCTCTCCCCCAATGTTAGGTTTGCATTTATGTTACATACAAAGTTAAAAGACAAAACAGTATTTTATTGATTATGCCAGGTTTTCTATGAGTAAGAAAATGTAGAGAATGGCTAACTATTCTAGATAGACAATTTGTATATGTCATTATCAAACTTAAAAACTACTCAAGATTTATACTGAGATGGGAAAGTACTAATGATTGGCCATGCTAGACATGTTGGAAATAATTCCTTGAAATAATTTTTTCATATGGGAACTCTGTCAAACAAGAATTGTTGCTGAACAAACTTGGGTGCACTGTGGTCAAAATATGTTTCCCCAAAAATAGCTACTTGGAGTAAGTCTGACATGACATAGAAATAGTGATACAGGTCAGTTTTCCAAGGATGATCCCGGTTTATGACTGTTGTCTAGGCATGATTATTATTGGCACCCCCTCTTACTTGCAAAAGGGCCTAGGTTTGGATGAAAATTTATATAGTCACCATACAAATATAGCTTCTAATTCGTGGAAGACAAAAGGATTGGACTGGAAGTGTACATGGTGTATCATTAGATGCAGGTTGTTGATTTCACTTTTAATAAAAGAATATAACAACAAAACCCATCCAGTTGTACAACTGCCTAATCAGAAATTATAGGATTTTCATAGATCATATTTAAAAACTCACTTTCTCTCGAGATATAATCATGCAATTTACAAAATTAGACATATTAAAAAAATTTTTTAAAATCTTGTATTTATATTTTAGAAAATATTTCCATATGGCCAAGAAAAATACCTCTTATATCACACACACCTAAATGGAAATATGCACGCAATAAGCATACATATGCTGGAAGAGAGGAAAAAAGCAATTATGTTGTTATAAACTTGCAATGATGCAAAACATCTACTAGCATATATGAATTAAAAATAGCATCATCTTACCTGAAGTTCCTGGGTAGCAGATTGAATAGACAGAAAAACAAATAAAAGGTCTATGTAAAATAATTATATTAAAGATATTGAAGTACATTTATCTTAGTTTAACACAACCACCAATAATGCTAACAACATATACTGCAGTAGATGCAACTTTTAAAAAAGGTAAATATACACTAACCCCAAAGAGAAAAATCAGTATTAAATATCAGAAATTCCAAATTTCTTGGTGGGTGATGTAGCTGGGATAACAAATCATAAATACAGTCTGTGGAGTAACTTTCTACTTCAGTGACAACTTTGGTCTCCTCAACACGTTTTTTTTGGAATGCCTAAATATGTATTTGTGAGAAAACTGTTAAATGTCATGGGAAAACAAATGAAGGTCATCAGCTGGGAAAAAAGGTGGCATCACTTGATACTGCTCCCAAAGATAAAAGTGTTTGTGATCATGATCTGTTTGCTGCTGATGTGCAGTAAATAGCAAAGACCCAGCAGCTTTTAGAGACTGAAAAGTTCAAGGGCAAACCCTTACAGATATTATTCAATAGATTCTGAGATTATTTAATGGAAAGGAACAGAGATGACAAGTCTTTCCTTTTTTGACAGCTGTGTTTTGAGAAGCCAAATATGTTTAATTTTCTCTGATGAGGATATACTAAAATTATTCTCCAGTGTCAGTACAAGGGGACTAACATTTAGAATGCCAACTATGTGCCTGACACTATACCAGAAGCTATACATAGGTTATTTTATTGAATCCTCATATGTACTCTGCAGCCAGGTATCATTATACCCATTTAATAGATGAAGAAGCAGAAGTCAAGAGGAAATTGCATCCATGCGTAATGTCATACAGCTAGGTCAGTGGCAGAGTTGAAATTCAGACTTGGACCTGCTGGACTCCCAAGTCCAAGCATTTTTACTCTACCACTCTAAGCACATTAGACTCCCTTATAATTTTATTGAGTAGCAGCAAAACATTCTCAAATGGTTTATTTTACTTGGACTCTCAAATAAAATTTTTTATTTTATTTACACTCTTACCCCCTTGGGTTTCTTATAAAATCTTATTCATAAAAGAAAATAATCACTGTGATTTTTTAGTTGTTGGCTAGGACAATAGAGAGAAGACAAGAAGGAAGGTATGGTATTCATTATTTATTGTCCCTGAAAAACATTAGTGTAATATTTATTTTTAAGTGATGGGCTTCTCAGATTTTTCCCTCTTTTATTTTGATAGAAATTAAATTTGTTAGTTGTTCTGAAATTGTGCCTGATTCCTCTGCTTTGTATCATTCCTACTAGGTCATTTCACATAATATTTTTCTCTGGCTGAGCCAGGAAAATGATGCCTCTCTTGCTTCATCAGTTTCTCCCTTCCTAGTTTAATTTCCAAAATTAAGAAGGTGCCCAAGCTTGAATTCTAACCTAAGAACAAACATTAGGTCAGTTGCCAGATCAGGGAGCTAATCTTCTGACATTTGCTGAGCTCTAAGCCCCAGCTCAGAGACATTTTGAAAGTATTCAAAACAGCTGTATTTTGCTTTAGATTTTTAAAACATTCCTCACTGCATTTAGTGAATGTTTTCTCTATCACTAATTATGGATAACAGAAAGCTGCAATACTTTTTTAGTGATTCTGGAACAATTCAAGCTGAAAATTAAGCTGGCACTTATTTTAAAGATGCCTTACAGTCAGTGCCTTTATACTCTTTAAGGACAGGGTCTGCTAAACTTGTATTCCAGGGAAAGAATTGGTGAAGAAAATGTTCCTTATTCTGAGGACATGATTCTCTGCTGCTGGCACACACATCCAGGGTAGTCATGGGCCAGGGAGGATGAGAGCTGATAGCTCTTTGGCCTCAACTAAACATAAGCAGGTTGGTCAGCAATAATATCCTTTTAGGGAGGGTAAGCAGCTACTTGAAGCATCATTTCCATTTTAGTTAAGGTAAGGAGGTGCCTAACCACCACAAGACGTGATCAACTTTGAATCTGGGCCTCCATTTTAATTGTAAGACTAGCAGAAAGCCCTTTGGGAAACACAGTGCACTTAGTTAAATGAGAGCTGATGTATGCTGAGCAGCACTGAGAGCAGGCTCAGTACCAGGCTTACCTGCATAAGCCAATCTCACTTCAGTGAACTGAGTTTTATCCCATGAGGCAAAAGACTGCCTCTCAGCTGGAAAATGCCCCTAAGCTATTGAAATGAAGGTGACTGATCGGAGTGATGCTCTTCCTTCCAACCCCAGTCTTCAAAAACATGATTCATAGTGGAAAGCATCTGATTACCATGATTATCATTCAAAATTAATGAATCTGCATTTGCCTGTTGAGACTTGAATTCAGCTGCTCCAGGTGTCTGGAATGCTAGCCACCAACCTAAAGCACAGCAAAGAGCTCTCTCTCATGTGTGTTATATTTTAAGTTCTAATGATTTCATCAAACACGGCACAAAAATAATGGAGCCCTCAGGCTCTGATCTCATGTTGTAGCAGGCAAACTTTTAAGTAACTGAATTAGAGCAACTTCATGTCTACTATAATTAAATGCTTAGCATATTTTACGCAGGTACCAATGAAAAGGCTCAGAATTGAAATGCTTTTGTGATTTTTTTTTTTT